GAGCTACAGCCCCGGATTGTTTATGATTCAGCGCCAGATGAACTAGCACTGACTCCATACGAACTCCGTGCTACAGGAGCTGTTGAATCAAAAGTCAAGCTGCTTCTGGGTGTATTTGAGCAAGATTTGGGATAGAAGGAGATCCCAGAGAAGGCTGTGTGTTAAACAAGGGAGGGAGGGTGACCAGTTTCCAGCCTTCCTGGTCTCCTATCTTTCAAACTCCCGGAATTTGGCCCCCACCTCCTGAAACTACTGCAGGCTACTTTGAGAAAATCTATGGGCTACTTCCGTAGAATAGAAGTCTGAGTGTGAAAAAACCACCATTTTTTTTCTTAAATCATTTTATTAGGGGCTCATACAACTCTTATCACAATCCATACACACATCAATTGTGTAAAGCGCATTTGTACATTCATTGCCCTCATCATTCTCAAAACATTCTCTCCACTTAAGCCCCCCCCGCATTAGGTCCTCATTTTTCCCCTCCCTCCCCGCTCCCCCTTCCCTCATGAGCCCTTGATAGTTTATAAATTGTTATTTTGTCATATCTTGCCCTGTCCGACGTCTCCCTTCACCCACCTCTCCGTTGCCCATCCCCCAGGGAGGAGGTCACACATAGTTCCTTGTAATCGGCTCCCTCCTTCCTACCCACTCTCCCTCTACCCTCCCCGTTTCGCCACTCACACCACTGGTTCAGTAGGGCTCATCTGCCCTGGATTCCCTGTATTTTCAGTTCCTATCTGTACCAGAAAACACCACCATTTTGAGCACCCCTTCCGGGACCTCACAGACCCAATCCGGGGCCCCATGTAAGAACTGGGTTCTCCTGACACCAGGCTCTGAAGGGGCTGAGTGATCACGGCCAGGGCTAGGAGAGCAGGCTTTCCACCTCCCGTGGGTCTCATCACCTAGTCTCCACAGGGACAGCTTCACACGTGCCCCCTGGAAGCCCTCAGCAGTTTTCAGGGAGGCTGCTCTCTCCTGGTCCTCTTCCCACGGCTTAGCCCCGTCTCTATGGAGACCCACTCCTGCCTGCCCCATCCCTCACCACTGGCCAAAGCTGCCTGAAGCCAGGTCAGCACTGTTCCTTCCATGGGGAGTTTGTAAGTAGGGCCAACCAAGAAGTCAGCGGGAGCTGTCAGAGGCTCTGTTTATGCCTTGTCAGAGGGCGGGGAGAGGGGGCGGGCAGCAGAGGGGGCAGGGCCTGGGGAGGGAAGTGAAAGGCAGAGAGGGCTCCAAAGGAGAGGCCCAGGGGGTTCAGATGGTCAATGGTGGGTTCCCTGACCCTTCCAGAAGCCCAACTGCACCGCTGTTCTTCCATTCTGAGGCAGCATCTGCATCATTTCAGCATCTCCTCATTGCGCACAAACCACCTCAACATAGCATCTTTCCCCAGTTTTAATTTCCCCTGAAATCTCAGCAACTTATTCTTTCAAGTAATGGCGCTCTGTGGGGAGTTCCCAGGTCTCTCTGGAGACCCGACTCCTGGCGGGCCCTTCCCTTTTCCCTTGAAGGTCTTGCTATCGTTTCAAACTTGGCCCATCTAGAACTCCACAGCTCCTGTTCTCTCAGCACAGGTTTATGCTTCAGGAAAGGGCCTAGGATTAAACCAGCTGCCGCATAATAAGCCACCTGAACCCTAAAAAAGCTAGTGCTCAGAGCAGTGGTTCTCAACCTTCCTAATGCCACCACCCTTTCATACAGTTCCTGTGGTGGTGACCCCCCAAGCATCAAGTTATTTTTGTTGCTACTTTATCACTGTCATTTTGCTACTGTTATGAATCATCATGTAAATATCTGATATGCAGGATGTATTAGGTGACCCCTGTGAAAGGGTTGTTCAACTCCCAAAGGGGTCGCGACCCACAGGTTGAGAACCGCTGCTCTAGCCCCTCGCTCATGGCAAGCATCACCGATCAATGGATCTCCTCTGGAGTCTCGAAGCAGCCCCAGATCCTTTTAACTACGGCCAGCATCACTAGACCTGGCCCAAGAGACGGGGCAGATCTGCCATCCGGGGCTAGATGAAATAGCGCGGGGATCCACCACCTTGGATTTTAGCACGCAGCCTACAAGGAAAAGCGTGGAGGAAGTGTGCTCCAAGCCTCAGCCACAGCCCAAAGTTTGTTTCCCTGGGCCTTAATTTAATGAGATGTCAATGAGAAGCATTGGGATCTGGATTCGGATTCCGGGGACTTTGGTTTGGGTTTCATGAATTGTCTCTGGCAGTCTCCATGAAAAGGCAGGGCACGCAGTGGGAAGCATTTGGGTTTTTTTTTCTTCCCTGATTACCCCCTAAAGAGCTTTTAAATAATCTGCTCAGTATTGAAGTACTAAAGCCATGAACTTGTTGCAAAAAATCAGCTTACTGGAACAACAGGAAAGACATTCTTTTGCTTTTCAAAGGCTTTCCCATCATCAGGAGCCAAAAATATTATCTTCTGACCCAAAAAGCCACTAAGAAACCTCATTCCTATAGGCCAGGCAAGTGGGATGGTGCTGCCCTAGACAAAATGGCAAAGAGAGCATGCTTGCGCTCTGGGGCTCCGCAGCCCCCTCCTCTGCCCTCCCTCTTAGATGTCTTCCTACCACCCTGGGACCCCCACTAATGGCTCCTCCCCCCAGCCTCTCTTCTTCCCTAGGGATCCTTTGCCCAAGTGACCTCTCTCTGCATGCAGATTCTCAGTCCCAGCTAGCTTGAGGGCCTCGGGCACAGTGGTAATGTCCCTCACCACAGAATGCAGGGTGTCCTTCCCACTTTCTGAGGAGGGGGGGACACAGGGAAGAGTGCTGGCAGGAGAATCCCTTCATGACTGGGGGGCGGGGGTGCATTTGCTGGCCTGAGGTACCAATCAAAGGTAAATGAATGGCACTCGATCTTTTTACTAAGGGTTCCCTGGAGACCTAGAAATGCAGTGGCAGCAGTAGCGCAGCTCTGAGGAGCATTCACTCGTGTAAACGCGATGTCACGGTCTGCGTTTCTCTTTTAAACGAGGAGCTCAGGGTTCTAAATTCACTCTGAAGAGGAGAGAGTGTGAGGGAGTGAGTGTGTGAATGAGTGAGTGTGGTATATATGTGAGCTTCTCGTCAACATCCCGCTTCACAGACCTCGGCCCTCCTGTGCCACAAAAACCTCCCGGAGATGGGTGAGGCCCCCTTGGCGGCCGAGTTGTTGAGCCAGCCTGGGCCTAGGCTGTAAAACGCAAGGGGTTAGGAACACAATGTAGGAGAGCAGCTGCCCAGCTCTCCAAAAGGCCCCCCATCGCCCCCATGAAACAAGAACACCCATCACCTCCTCCCTCAGGACTCTGGCACCTTCATCAGGGGCCAGTGACAATACAAACTGTTATTTATAATGCCCAGTAGATGCCACGTCTGCGAGGACTGACAGAGAGCTCAGGGATTGCGTGTTTAGAGCCTGCTACAATTGGGGAGGCCTCCAGTCCTGACGTCCTTCTCAAAGGACAAGGATAGGAAATGGAGACAAGCAGAACCACCCAGAGGCCCAAGCCTTTCCCCTGCCTCGCTGGCAGCTCTTCCTCCCCTACCTGCCCCCCCACATCCCACAATCTTCCCCCATCGTCTCTCCCTAGGTGACTTCATCGCCACCTATGGCGTCCATCACATCCTACCAACTTCCAAAGGGTGGCTAACATCCAAGTAGACAGCTCCTCCTGCCTTCCATCAGCAAGCCCAACTGAAGCAGCTAGACACCGCAAAGGAGAGCTGGTTGCCATGATCAATATATAACACACAAACACACCCCTGGGGAGGACAAGCAAGAGACAGACAGTGGACAGTGTAAGATACGAAAATCACAATTCTTTATCATTTATCAAGGGTTCACAAGGGTGGGGAAGGAAAAAACAGGAGTGGATACCAGGGGCTCAAGTAGAAAGAAAATGCTTTGAAAATGATAATGGCAACAGAGGCACAAATGTGATTAATACAATTGATGTTGGTTTGTTATGAGCTGTAAGAGCCCCAATAAAATGATTAAAAAAAAAAAAAAGAACCAGCTAGATACTTCAGAGGCTGCTGCCCACCTTGAAACCCACACCCTCGTGGGGTCCCAGGTGTGTCACCCTCCCTCCCAGCTGCAGATGCAGAATCCCCAGGACCTCATGCTTTCTAGGACAGACTGCATCATGCCAAACCAAAAAAAGGGAAAGACGGGAAACTCATAGTTTGCTATTAATAGTCTGCAATCTTTGAGTCCCAAAGGGGGAATGATGAATAGATAAATAAACAAACGCCCCACACATACGCAGCGGCTTCAAAAAGTTCGTGGACAAATGGAATTTAAAGGCAATGAAATTCTTCCATGAACTCATGAAGGCCCCTGGTGAATAAGTATCAATGTTTTCATACAGAAACACAGAGGGGTGTGTGTGTGACGATCTATGGAGGAGGGAAGGAACACAGTGGAGGACCTGGGATGAAGGAACATTCAGTGACAGCACCTTTTACATAGCTTTGCCTCTGAGAAAGGCTACGTGTGAAGATTTCATATAATCAAAACATAAAATTAAATTTAAAAAAGGGGGGAAATCCTCATAATTAAAAGCAAATTGAACCAAACGAACCAATGGCGTGTCAGAGGAAAGGCTGACAGCCGGTGGAGCCTGGACGGCCAGTTCCTCCTGGGAAGACCCACAGGGAGATCTTACATTTCATCCAGAGTCTTTGTTGGTAGCGACTCACAACATACGCTTGCATGTATGTCGCAGGTGTGCAGTAGAGTTAACATGGAGAGACTACTACCCTTAGAAATGCCTGCTTACAAGGCTGGCCCTGGGCTGGCACCTGGGAGGATCCCCACCGTTTCCAGAACTGTTCGGTGACTCCCTGTGCCTAACGGGCAAACAATATGGTTTATGCGAAACACTAGTTTTCCTTTTGGGAGCCTGGGATTTGGGGATGTGCTAGGCAGAGGTGCCTACATAGCCAGTACCACCCCCCCAACCCCCACCCCCAAAACAAAAAACAAAACCCAACAACCTGAATCTCTAACGACCATCCCTGGTAGACATGTCACATGTTTTGCTACAAGCCGAGTGGTTACTGGAGGTGATGTGCAATAGGAAACACACAGCACCAGCCACAGGTTTTTCTTGTCCAATAACCTGCTCTGAACTGAATCAAGCCTCTGGATCGCACTCCCAGTGAAGAGGAAATCTCGGAGCAGAGGAGCAGGGAAAGGACACCACAAGGAAGCAATCGGCCAAATGCTGGAAGGGAAACGATTGGTTGCTCTCACATATCAATGCCATGGCCTGACAAACGTGGAGGTTATACAGTCAGGGAATAAAAGAGATTGCAGAGTCAAACCTCCACCCAGTTCCCAGCCCGTTTCTTTAGGCCCAGGTCCCTGTGCATGCAGTTCCCTCTCCCTGGATGCCACCCTCTCCCCCAGCTTCTTCCCCCTGGCAGAAGTCTTCTTATCGCTTGTTCAGCCCAAACACTGCCCCCTCAGCTGCCCCCTTGGGAGGACTTCTCGGCCTCTGCCCCGAGATAAGGTCAGGTCCTCCCCTTTGCTACCACCACCACCCCCAGCACTCCTTACGGGAGCACGCATGAGTGGCTGTTTCCTACCGGCCTGCCCCAAAGGAGTGAAGACACCACATCTTGGAGCCGAATCTGAAACCACTAAATAAAAGTGTTCAACAGATGAGTGAACAAATCAAGTACCATATACAGTGTCTAGGCCACTCGGTGGGAGATTTGGGGTGCGCTCATGCAACTTGGCCCAGCAGTCCCTTCTGCTCTCGGGCAGCTGTGGCACCTGGGCCCCAGGTTGGCAGCAAGGGAACTACAGTGCAGAAGACGTACCGTCTCGCAGGCCTTGGGAATGGGCACGATGATGGCCAGCACGCAGATGAGCTGGAAGATGGCGCCCAGGAAGAGTCCGTACCGCAGCAGGTTCTCCAGGAACGTGGGCTCTGGCACCTCGGGAGGTGAGAAGTCCAGGTCGGAGGCCATGGCCCAAACCACTGCTGCCTGAGGTCTCCTGGCGCCCTGTTCTCCAGAGGCAGCCTCTAGACAGGCAAAGGGAAAGTGTCAAGTCCTGCCCCATTGGGTGGATCAGGCAGCCTTGCCAAAAAGCAGCGGGCCACAGATGAGGGATTTATATACCGGCTCTTGGGTCTATTCCACTGGTCTATTGCTACCCCACTACCAATTTGTTTTAGTTACTATGGCTATATTAAAAACAAACAAACACCGAGCCTTTAAACTCGCTGCCATCAAGTCTATTCCAACTCAGAGACCCTGCCGGGCAGAGTAGAGCTGCCCCTGTGGGTTTCCGAAGCTAATGCTTTACAGGAGTAGAAAGCCTCGTCTTTCTCTAAAAGAGGCAATTGGTTTCAAACGGCTGACCTTGTCGGTTAGCAGCCCAGCGTAACCATGATGCCACCAGGGCTCCACTAACTGGACAGAATGTTTTACACTCAGGAGGCTCCATGTCGTATTTCTGCAACTGACTTTCAAACTGTTCAGCACCCACCAAGAAATGTTCACACATGCATGAATGCACCACACAGTTGTGGCAAAATGTTCACAGGTGCTGAAAACTACGGGCAGGCTACATGGAGGGTCTTTATCCCCAATCTGTCAACATTGTTTTTTAATGGTTGAAGTTTTTCAAATATAAAGTTAGCATAAATAAAGAAATGCATCACCAAATATTATATATATTATATATTGATATACCGAAGGCCTGCTTTTGTTCAGGTCTTTGTTCATTCTTTTGTTCATCCAACCATTTGCTCAACAAATATTTATTGAGCACCAAGCCCCGAGGAAGCAGAGTGAGCAAAACAAACCAATCCCTGCTCTCTCGGAGCCTAGTCTCGTGAGGGAGGCAGGCCTCGAACAAGCCGAGAGGTTCTGTGCCAGGTGGTGGTCACGGCTTCCACAGAGAGCTGAAAAGGGCAGGCTTTACAGGATGGCACGTTGAGCCTCTCGTAAGAAGGGTGCTGGAAACGAAATGGCAGAGGTTCGCAGTGCAGAGAGCCATGTGAATACAGACGGAAGCATTTTCCCAAAGAAAGAGAAGCAACTATAAAGGCTCAGTCAGAGAGGAGTGACCAGAAGGGAGCCTGAAGAGGGGGTGAGCAGAGAGGTAACAGGGCAGGGGCAGGGCAGGCCAGGCGAGACACTTCCAATTTGAGTCAAATGTAAAGCTACCAAAGGGTTCTGAGCACAGTCGCATGGACTAACATTTTAAGTGGCTGGAGCAGGGAGCAGATAGAAGGAATAGATGCTAGCTACCACCAGGGTCCCAGACGGGAGATGCTGGTGGGCCCAGCAGGGTGCGATGGCTGGGGGTGGAGGGTCCAGTGGCATGCCTCTCTAGCCTCTCCTTTCACTAGCCCCCCACCCCACCCCCTGTGCTAATCCTAAAGACAGGCCTCTGCCCCCAGTACACCCACCCTCAGCCTGTCTGCTTCGCAAGCCCCTTACCCTATCTCTGAGGCTGAGTACAAATGGCACGTGCCCGCAAGTCTCCCTGGCCGCCCCTGGTAAGAATGAACAGTCCTGGACTCTCACGGCCTCACGGGTGGCTTCTTTCTGTCTGTGCAACAAGAAAAGTGCTCACTTTGCAGTCGGTGGGGTCTGATCCCAACCCCTGGGTGGTTTCAGAGGTCTGTGTGCCACTCATCAATTCCCTGTTGGTGCTGCACCGTTCTCGGTGGTGGCCCGCAGCCGAGCACGTGGTTGCTGAGCACTGAGATGCAGCTAATCTGAGCTGAGCCGGCTGCCGAGGGGGAAAAGCACGCCCACTTCCAGAGGCTTAGTATAAAGAAGGAAGCTGGCCCATCGCAACTGCCGTCTCATGCGGGTCACACATTGCAGTAATGCATCAAGTTAAAGAAAATATGTTATTAAAATTAATCTCACCTATTCCTTTCTTTTTCTAATGTGGCTGCTTTCACTCAGGGAGAATGACCGGGCTTTTCCACTCCCACAAGCAGTTAAGAGTCGCAGTAACTAACGGAGAAGTTCTACCCTGTCCGATAGAGGCAGCATCAACTCGATGGCAGTGATTTTGGTTGTTCTGTTTTTCACGTTCACTCAAAACCGACTCACAACAATCTTATAGAGAAAGGTATAACTGCCCCTGTGGGTTTGGAAGGCTGTAATTCTTTACAGAAGCAGAAAGCCCCATCTTTTTCCTAAGGAGTAGCTGGTGGGTTTGAACCCTTGACCTTGTGGGTAAAGCCACTACACAAAGCCACTACACCATCAGAGCAAAGCCCATTTTATAAACTTTTATGGGGTGGGCTCAAGCTAACAAGACTGCTCCAAAAACTGTCCTTCACCTTGGCTCTGCTGCTTCTGCTTGGTGGTGTTTTCTCAACGAGGAGGGGGGGCTGGAGGACAAAGATGATCTTCTAAGTAAACAAGAGTGGGGTGCACACAGACTGATACTGTCTCCCTCAAGAGTGGGGTGCACACAGACTGATATTGTTTCCCTCGCGACCCGCTCACTTTGGAAGGTCATGTGTCTGTGTCCAAGTGGCCGCTGTTCAAATCCGTTATGCCGTCTTTGGGAATGGCCTTCAGAGCCGGAAGCCTGTTCTTTTCAAATTCCCCAAGCTGCAGACCTTCTTCTACTCCGACGGGATTTGGCTTCTGGAAAGAAGCGAACAGCTGGATCCAGGTGTGGCAGATCAGGTGGGGCGGGGAACTCAGGAATACCATGTTTGGTCACAGGCAGCTGAGTGAGGAGGCCCGTAACCTGGCTGCAGTGAAATCCAGGGTGGCTGCTGGCTGGAGGGACAGCTTCCCGGAGTCAAGCCAACCAGCAAGGCACACCCCCACCCCCCACCCCCACCCCGGGAATGCCAACATTCACACAGTGGCTTCCTTAAAGTCGCACCTCAAGAAGTACACGTTTTACAAACGCCCTTGGCCTCAAACTTTACCCTCTAGGCTGCAACAGGCTTTCCAGGCATATCAGTCCTGGATTCCTCAGTATCACTGATAACAACAATGTTATGAACATTTCCAATCGTCCAACAGAATGTTGGGGCCAGGAGTGGGGGACCCGGGCACAAGCCCTGACTTTATCAGCAAGTCGTTACACTTGGGCCAATGCTTTAACCTCTTGGCAAGTTCATGTCCTCGTGAGTCAAGCAACCACAATAATAGCTACTTAAAGCTATAATGGCAATTAGGCAATACATAACACCAGCCATAAAAGTGATTATATCCTTTGACTGAGGAACTCACTTCCTAGAATTTACTGAAAGGAAACAATTCAAAAGAAGAAAAAGGCTCCAGGTGCAAAGAAAAAACAAAAGCTCCTGGCCGCACTACTCATCATGCTGCAAAACAGGAAGCAACCACAGGGTTCAAGACTAAAGGAGCCATTACCCCAATTACGTGTTTGGTGGGAAAGCCCCTCCACTGCAGAGACAAGCACACTAGGTCAGTGCAAGACCCGTTCATGGAAAAAGACAAACTGAAGAAACCATCATTTTACATGGGTACAGGAGGGGCCGTGAGCTATAATTTGGGGGACCATTTTTGAAATGACGAGCACATTTCAAAAGGAAAATGCACGCACACCTCCCGCCATATCTGCTTCCTCCGTCACTCTTTCACCAGGATCTCACGGAGCGGGGCTGGTGGATTTGGGGGCCTGTGGGGATGCTCTCCCTCTGCGGCCACCAGCGTCCTGGGGCTGTCCAATGCCGGATACGTGCTAGTGTGAGCACTGGACGTTTCCGCTTTACGTCACTGTAATCCATCCATCTAGACAGCAAGGAGCAGGGGTGACTTGAGGCCTCATTATTGGACAGGGGAGGGGTACAGGAGGAGCCTTGTGGGAAAGTTCTGTGCAGCATAACCTGCTCTCCATAGGAAGAGGCTTTGTAAAGAGCGAGGCAGGCATCCAAGATCTTCTGGGACCCTCGTGACCTGTTGCTACTTTGGAAGTCCCGTATCTCCTACCCCGGCATCTGCAGCACTCTCAGCCTGCCTCCCTAGCCCGTCAGAATTTCTGGTTTTCCCTTCCTGATTACAGAAATCTTACTCATCCTCCCCACCTCAAAGAGGAGCCATTCCCCCCACCCCACCCCCAAGCTCCTTGTGACAAGCTTTGCTCCCCTGCCATCAAAGCAGCAGCCGCGAGCAAACCATGTGCCAGGGGGCGAGGACAGCGTTTTACAGTCAGCACCTCACTCGGCTCACAGCCACTGGGGGTATGACTGACCAGGATTAGGAAACCAAGGCTTGCTTGCAGGGGTTACCTGGATGGTAAGTGGCTGTCACACTTCTCGCTCAGGTAAGTTGTTTCCCCCAGCGCCCTGGCCCTTACCCTCTTTGTCCCTCTAGGCTCGGACTCATTAGGGAGCCACAACTCTGCGCAGCGGGTTGCAGCCAAGCACCTGTTTTCCTTAAACTCTGTTTACCAGCACTTTCATGTACCGAACTAAATTATCACAGAAAACATCCCATTAGTCAAGGTCAGTACAATGGCCTGACTTCTTCCTGGTTATATCCATCTACATCCAAGTAGGCATGTTCTGGGTCAAAGTTTAAATGTGTATCTTATTGAGAAACTCTAAATGCTATTTTTTCCCCTCAATTTGATCCATTCTAAGTAGGGGTTTGAGCCAGTTCAAACTGGTTCCACCCTAGCCGATGCAGTGAGATCAGAATTCACCAGAATTTGTAAAATGTAGACATACTCGAACAATAACCAGAATGGAAAAATTATGGGTCCGAGTCCTGGGATGGGAGCGACTCAGAAGAGGCATAGCACTGTGGACACGCCTGTTCAGATCAGGTGATTGCCAGGAAAGGAGCTGGGGCAACAGCACACATTCAAAACCGCGTGGTCAGCCGCCATCTTTGAGCAGGGCACTGTTGTTCCAACTCAGCAGATCAAGAGGTTTGGTGGCTATACAACATGCATGCTGCCCTTGTTTTCTAAGAGAGATCAAGCTTCTAACTTCAACTCGTCGTTTCTCTCCTCCCAGTTATCACTCTAGTACACTCAGACTACAAACTCGAATCTGTTCTGTTTTCACTTCATTGGCCATGACTAACCCTGCCAGAACCTGATTGCTCCAAGTCCTGATTGGAAACTCCCGGGCAGACTTAGTGTCTGATGAGTGTCCCACGGCCTGACTCATAAATATGTGACAAATGACCAATACTAGGCTTCTGTTTCTCACCTTTAAAGCCAGGGCGGATGCCCCACCCAACTGCCTCATTCAATGAGGAGGAGGGCAAAGAGCTGAGGTGCCATGAATCTCACCCAAGTCAGGGCAGAGCTGGGCTCACTGCCTACTGAAGTTGACTAACGACCACTGCAATCAATTTCTCTAGCCCAGTGGGCTCAACCTTCCTGATGCCGTGACCCTTTCATACAGTTCCTCATGCTGTGGTGACCCCAACCAGACAATTATTTTCGTTACTACTTGATAACTGTCATTTTGCTACTGTGATGAATCGGGCGACGCCTGTGAAAGGGTCATTCGACCCCCAAAGGGTTGAGGACCGCTGCTCTGGCCGTAAGGTGCTCCAGACCGGCTTCAGGCAGGTTTTCTCATGGACTGCAAGAGCATCATGCACCAGAATCTCATGGAAAGTCCACACCCACTTATCAAAACTACGAGGAAAATGCCATAAGGACCCTTCCAGGCTCATCTCCAAGCGCCAGGAGCACCTCTGTGTGCCACTGTTCTAGTCTCTGTCTTCACCAGGCTCCACTCAAGTAGAGGCATTCAAACATGTACATGCACAAGCAAAAAAATTGGAAAATCTTGAGATCTACTGACCAAGGTAGGAAGAAGCCTCAAATTATTAATGTTGGAAAAGGAAGGGGAGACTTGATTATTGATCCTAAGCCAATGCAAATGATAATGGAACTTTTCCCCACAAACTTTTTGAAGCCCCCTCATATGCCAAGATCAAGTGAAATGCATCTTAACATTACACAGTTGGTTCAATACAAGAAAAGCGAACAATAATATTCATGGAGTGTCTATTTCTACTTCCCATTAGAGTATAAACATATTGTACTACAAAGGTGGCATAATAACCAAACTAATTCATCATTTGTGTATAACGACTTGCCAACTTTAATTGTTTGTTGAATCTTTTTGTGAACATCCAGCTTTTAAAGAGACCTGTAAACTATGAAAAAAAAAAAAAAGCAACTAAGGCAATAAATCATATTAATAAAATGAAAGCAAAAAACAGATGATTGTCTCATAAGAGCAGAAAAAAAACCAACCACATTTGACAAAATCAAATGACTTTCATGACAAAAATATTCAACGAACTAAGAATAGAAGGGAACTCCCGCAACCTGATCAAAGACGTCTATGAAAGTCCCACAGCTAACAGCACACTTAATAATGAAGACTGAGCCTTTTCCGCTCTGAGATGAGAAACACCATTTCTACGTGACTATGTACAGGAAGCACTTGCCAGGGCAATGAAGCAAGAACACAAAATAAAAGGTATCCAGGTTGGAAAGGAAAAAGTCAACCTAACTCTACTCACAGATGATATAATCTTATCAACAGGAAATCGTTTTTAAAACCACACATAGAGCCAGCAAGCGAGCTAAAAATTGATCTCATCAAAGTTGCAGCATACAAGATCAAAATACAAAACTGAGTTGTACTTCTACACACTAGCAATAAATAACTTGAAAATGAAAGTAAGAAAATAGCTTTTTTTTTTTTTGCAAAAGCATCAGAAGGGGGAAAATACATAATTAACCAAGGAAGAGCAACTCATATATTGGAAAGTATAAAACTGAGCTGAAAGAAATTAGAGAAAGCCTAAATAAACAGAAAGGCAGAGATGACAAGTCCCCAAACCAATTTACACAGGCAATGTAATTCCTATCAAAATTCCACCGGCCTGATTTGAAAAAAAAGTCCAACAGCCTGACAAAGAGCAGCAAGTAGCTACAACTCCCGAAAAGGAACAAAGATGGAGGGATCACTCACTAACTTCAAACCTTACTACAAAGCTATAATAATCAAAATAGTGTGGTACTGTCATTAGGGCAGAGATCAACGGAATATAACTGGGATTCTAGAAATACACGAGTGTTATTTCTATGGCTGACTGAAGTGGCTGCTGAGCATATACACGGCAGAGCATCCATTAATCCAAAAGTGTCTGCATGCTGCATTTAGGAACACTGATCATGCTTCAAGCTGTGCAACCATTATCGTCCCCCCTTTTCTAACATATCTCCCCAACAACATAATCTAGCTCCCTCCGTACCACGATCAGCCACACCAGGTTCACTGCAGAACCACTCACGACTGGAAAGAGATAGAAACAAGCCAAATAGATGAAGAAAGCAGACACACACAGTCACCGCTATTGGGGCAGTTCTGATTCATCGTGACCCCATAGCACAGGGAAGAACGCTCCTGTGGGTTTCCACAACTTTAATTCTTTTTTTTTAAAATCACTTTATTGGGGGCTCTTACAACTCGTTACAAACCATACATCAACTGTACCCGAAATA